ACTATAATATATATACTACATATACTACTATAATATATATACTACATATACTACTATAATATTTTCCTTTGATAAAAACCTGCTGCTAACGCTCTTCATGACATGGCAACAACATGATTGTAACTTTACATTATGGCTTTATAATCACTACGGTACATACGCGATAGCTTTCGACAGTTTCACAACTCTGCTACAGCTACTATAATATATATACTACATATACTACTATAATATATATACTACATATACTACTATAATATATATACTACATATACTACTATAATTCTTTCCTTTGATAAAAACCTGCTGCTAACGCTCTTCATGACATGGCAACAACATGATTGTAACTTTCAATTTTGACTTTCACTCTCCCACGTGCCACACACCTCTGACATGGCGCCACTTACTGCAACTTATAAGAGTAATTCACAGAGAAGAACAAACTTTAACGTCAATTACTATTTACTGCGTGTAAGCCTTGTACTTTTACAGAGACGCGTTTTGAAGGATTAGCAACATAGGATCATGTTGAAAACTCATATGAAGCTCAGCCATAACTATAGCATCATATTAGCATTGTACGCAATAAGTTGGCGTACAATAATGCCCGCATGACTTGTCACCTGTAATTTTTCCCAGATAAAGCCATTGGCCGGATTGAACACAAGCGCAGCACAGTAGCTGAGAGAGTAAAAGCAAGCACTTCACAATTCTGCAACACATTACCTTGCCCGCGATAACAAGCTACTCAATTAAAGGTTGTCGTAATCTTGCAAGTTCCTCCCTTTTCTAATGGCGTCTTGTCCTCAAAATTGCCTATAAGGTTTCACAACTGTGCGATTATGAATAGGAGATTGCCGGCAAGAGCAAGTTGACTAGAAGTACCTCGGGCAAGTTGTCCAGTATAATCAGTCAAGTAGATTGGGTCCCGACTCCAGATAATGGCTTATGAAAGCTGTCATTACGCTTAATCAAGTCCAATCAAGCATCTTGTGAGCTTAATTAAAACTAGTAATTAGTCTCTCAAGTTTCTGTGAATAGGAAAGAAACCAGGGGAAGATTGGTGGACATTGTAGTTAGAAAAGCCGCGTATGATTTCACGTGTAACATATGCGAAACATAATGAGTGTAATCGAGTTTTACTTGCTGTAAATTGATATAAAACAGCGGACGCTATACTGCCGCCATTACAGGATTTCACATTGCCATCCGCATCACATAACGCCTCTAGTAAAACTACACGTCCACGCTTAACACTTGTACACTATAACGCTTGCACGTGGTTACTAGTATAATGACATATCTATATTCATATCATGATACCGGGAGTGAATAACAATAAATCTATTATTATTATTATTAGCTATTATTATAGATCGATTATTATTATTATTATCTATTATTATAGATCGATTATTATTATTATTATCTATTATTATAGATCGATTATTATTATTATTATCTATTATTATATTTATTATTATCTATTATTATAGATCGATTATTATTATTATTATCTATTATTATAGATCGATTATTATTCACTCCTGATGATACGATAAACAATGTTATAGCATCACTGCTTCTCTCAGATAATGTTCTCAGTATATAGCACGGCTGCACACGTGTGCGTGGAAATCAAAAGTAATTAAAAAGATTCCGCTCTCATTACTACCGCAGCTGCATCCTGGACTATACATTTAGAATCACACGCAATAGCACAGCGATTCGTTACTCAATTTTTGCGAGTAAACTCGGAATTGTGAGCACGTTATTTTCTCCTCGTTTAGTTTTGTTTAACATTATCAGTCCGTGAACCTAAAAGCCCTGAATAAATCGTGTGTGTTCGGCCCCGCATTCCGTCATGTTATTACGTTTAAATCTAGGGCACGGGCCTATTTACATAAAATTGGCATATAGCGCGCGCATAGCGACACACAGGACGCTGATAATCACAAAGACGATGAACAAGCAATATTATTTGGGGCGTTGAAATTACGTGTGCACTGAAAATCGAATTTAATGCTAATAAAGCTACAGTTGACTACGAACAGAATTCGCTTTACGCGTCGGCGGTATGTGATCAAGAACGGCCTTCATGAACCCGTATCGCAACCATTATTGCAAGTTAGAAAACCCTCTCTCTATATATCTCTCTCTCTCTATCCCCTATCTATATCCCACGCGTTCTCTTTTTTTCTATTTTCCATGTCCCTCTTTCTATCTATATCTATATATTCCCTTCTTGAGCTCATTTTGTCAGTATAGCTCTATCTTTGTCTCTGCCTGTCCCTTCTCTCCCTCTCTCTCTCTCTCTCTCTCTCTCTCTCTCTCTCACTCACTATCTCGCTTTATCTCTATTTCGCCTTTTCGTCTTGTATTCCTCTCTATTTTTCTTCCTCCCGTATCTCTCTCCTTATCTCCATCTTCTCTCTCTCTCTCTCTCTCTCTCTCTCTCTCTCTCTCTCTCTCTCTCTCTCTCTGTACTCTACTCTATTCTACTCTGTGCTGTTTTACGGTTTATACACGGACATTGTTATATTTCCTACACCTCGTCCGGTGACACCAAAGACATCAAAGGCATCACAAGTCGTTCAGCAGGTGCCATGCCAGGCCGCCTCCCCCGTGTTGCCGCACTGTACGCAGCAATGCAACCCCCGTTAGCGAACGTCGTCCATGCTTTTGTATCAACAACGCCTACGCCCCCATGTTACGAGTAAACAGCGTCCTTAATGAGTGGCTAATTACACTGCCTAGTTAATTGAAATTTAATTAGCCGCATTAATGAGGTTTAGATTGAGAAAAGCTTCACGTGGAAAGCTCATCAGCTAGGTGATTTAGCATCAGATCAAAATATGGGCGATGATGGTTGGTATCGCATCAGCAGGGGCTGGCTGAATGTCATACGTACATCAAGACCGCTATGTATATTCTACATGAATACGGGAACAACGGTGCAAGAAACTGCGCCATATCTGGTTTATATCTGGGGAGTATCTGGTTTATATCTGGGGAGTATCTGCACCGATAGCCACTTGCAATGACACGCACGTATCTATATGCAGCACTAGCATTTTCGAAATGAGTAAATACACATACTTTAAACGAGGGAGAGAATAACACTGTTAAAAACCTTTTTTAAGAAAGACACTTTTTTTAAAAGAAAACACTTTAAGACAGGGCGCAAGCGCTTTATTCGTTTTGACGGCGCGATAACTGTGGAAATGCCATGGACGATTACCTAGAGAACGTGGGCGGTAAAATATCGCCTATCTCTTCAGTGCTGTGTGGAATAGCACAACAACACACGTTCTGAATATGAGCGTATACACTGCAGACCTTCCTTTAATGTTTAAACCGTTAACACAAACAATGAATGCTTGAGAATGAATAATATCACAGTACGCGAATTATTTTTCCTCGCAGCCAGGCGGCGCTTGTAGTTGCCCAGAGCAATCAGCGTTTCCCACAAATTAGCTGTTTTGCCAGCAGTTTCTAATGCGGCTTTGATTTGCGTGGAATACATAGCACGCGCAAAAGCGATCACGCTCAGATTTCCGGTCTCCCGCAATCTGCCTTCTAATTTACATAGCTTGCTATAATCGGCACGTCCGTCTCTTACCTCTGTCCCTCATTACTCCTTACGATGCTAAAAAGGCTGTACGAATACAGCCTGCGCATCCTCCGCGGCTCCCTCACCACTGCTAGGCGAATACTGGCCGCTGGCAGCGTGCCAATCGTCGGTTAGGAAAACATTTTGTTGGATTGTTTTATTCATACAGATATTACTGTTCATCATAAACACGCCGGTGTGACGGCAGGTTTCGGTGATATTGCATTGAGAGCGGTTATGCTCGAAAATGACGCATTTTGCGACTCGTTTCGCAATTGATCTATAAACGATCGCGCGTTTTCGTCACGTATTTCTTGTTTTGCGTGGCAGCGGGAATGTATTGTTATAACGCCACGCGCCTCGACGCATACTGTTCGTGTGAATTAATCAGGGGGTGCTGAGTAATTAACGCAATTAAACTAACTATGCGGAGATTTTTGCTCAGAAAATACAAATATAGCTGAATATAGTCGCACCTGACAGCGGAAATATCACTGATTACACCAACAATTAAATACTAGATTTTTATGCAGTTATAGCATAGAAAAATGAATTTGACCACATCGGTAACAGCAATAAAGTTCATCGTATGCCGATAATGCCTAATGGCAGAATTGGTAAACTTGTATTTGTGTCGGTGATGAATTCAAAGCCAGTGCATGCCTGTACTGTGTCTATGGCAGCTAAGCGGTGGCGCCAACAAGCTAATCCATACTTCCTGTTAGTTCAAGATGACAGAAAACGAATGTTTACAAAAACGATTATTTCGAACTGACAGTTTTCGGTGAATACGGAAGGTTTCTAAGAGCATTTATTGTTACTCTAGACAATTGCTGTTACTCAAGCAATTAACGGTAGTGGTGTCATGAAAGTGGTGAAAACACTGGAAAACTCTCGCAATAGTTACTTTAACATGCCTCACCAGCAAGGAAGTTTCTCTATCACGCAATTGCACGCGAACACGTGACCAGTGTGACGTATAGGCTAATCAAACGCCGCTACACAACGACGAGGCTGTACCTAGTTACCAATACGTACCGCAGTAATCAGCTTCAAAGTTAAAGCAACCGAAAAAGACGGGCGTTTTGTTAGCTAACAGAACGGTTGATCAAGCGTTGCGAAATTGCACCAGATCAACAATCGTCCAGCGTCAAGTCGGTAGTGTAAACCCAGCTTTAGAGCTTCATATATAGAGCAGGTAGTACATGTTGTGGTACGAAACATGTCACAATGGGCGTTTTACAGGAAGTGCTAAGCCGTGCGCTTACAAAAAACGTGCCGTTACGACATCGCATGAGATCAAGTAACGTCCGTATACATGGAAACACGAATACCGGATGATACGCTAACTTGACCGAGCTGCGTGAATATTAAATGGGGAACGCACCTCACGGTAATGCATAAAAGCTCGATCCACTCACTCGCGCTTAGCAGCTACAGTGGTCACCCGGTTTATCGGGACAGGTCTGAAACCATGAAATTACCCCGATTAAGCGGTGGTCCCGATTAGACGGTGAAAACACAACGCGCGTAAAAAAATAGTTTTTCAAAGACATATATCGTTTATGCGATGCGCCCATTTATCCGAGGTTATAAAACGAGTACCACCGTGTATATACCCATCGCTTAGGTGACGAGGTTATATTGGCACTGCGAGTCAGTTCTACATAGGCTCCCCTTCCATCGATGTTCCAGCTGCAACTATTCTACAAGCTTCCAAGGCTTCACACGCACTCCCGCAGATAAACCCCCGCAGGCTATAGTGCGGGCTCTAATGGAACAGCTCTCCGCTGGGCATTGCGTAACAATGGAGAGGTTAATCGATGAAATTCTACGATTAATATCTCCACACACACTCTCTCTCTCTTTTGCCTAGCATACATCCGCACGTTGAGATTGTTCAGCACTATCGCATCTCAGAGCGCTCTCAGTGAATGCTTCATTACTTGCTATTACATATATACGAGAACTGAGCAAGATTATTTGTCTACGCTAACGCATTCAATCAATTTCCTTTATTTCGTGTTTTAAATCTGTGGATTGCGGATTGAAAGGATAAGAAGCCAGGAGAGCCAGACGAGAAATGCACGTTTTCTTGTCGCTCATGCTAGCTCTCCCCTGTCTCCCTCACGTTTCTCTTGCCACCTTCCTTCTATCGCGCGGTTTCCCGCTCCATCCCTCTTGTCCCATATCTTCCCTGCCTTTCTCTCCCTCTCTCTCTCTCTCTCTCTCTCTCTCTCTCTCTTTCTCTCTCTCCCTCTCTCTACTATCCCGTTTCTCCCTGTTTTCTTCTATCTTTTCTTATTGCTCTCGCCATTACTTTCTCTCTCCTCCTCTCTCCCA